ATAGAACTCAAATCCAGGTCTGTTTCAGCCCAAGGCCTTCATGATCACTTAAGAGCAAAAATCTGGACTCCACAGTCCTTATCACAGCATTACATATATTTAATAAATTCTTAGAAAACTGAAAGTGTGAAATAAATCCGGTTTTGTTCCCCTCTTGCCATGTGGGATACATACAGTGTGGTACAAGACGAAATCTCATGCACACGAAAGGAGATCCAGGACATTCTAAATGGACTGCTATTCACATGAACCTCTGACATTAAACCAAATATGACTTACGCTTTTCCACATTATTCAGCATTTCAATCAACCTACATCCTCCATCATGAATTCCAAAATGTGCAACTGTTTGCCCTTAAAAATATTACATTATTCAAATATCAGAGCTGAGCCTTTCTTATTTTTAACATTCTTTCTATAGTAGTAGTCCCATAATGGACTGGTTACATCACAATTATCTGGGGCACCTGTAATAATAATTCAGTTACTAGACCTTTCACAAATTTTCTAAAGTTCAGCATTTTCTTAACTAGATAATTTATATTTTAACAAATGCACATGCAGCCACATTTGGGAATCTGTTTAAATTTGTTCAAAAGACAAAGACCTCTTTACCTTGACTTCTGATTTTGAAATCAGTACCATGCTACCAAAGATCCACATTCAGTGCAGCGGTTCTCAAACTGTAGAATGTGAGAAATCACCTGGAATGGAGGGTTTGTTAAACCACTAAACTAAGAAGTCTCTGGGTAGGAGCCTTATAGTAGGCTTTTTCAAAAGTTCCAAGATAATGTTTGCTGATGCTTCTGGTCTGGAAATTACACCTTGAGAACCACTGCTGTAGACTTTGACAATATGGGATTAGAAAGCTTTTTTGATAGTTGCTCAGTTCTGTGTCCTTAAGTTATTGAAACTCTCTAGCCACCAGCTGTAAAATGGGATGATAAATCTCATAGATTGAAGACTGAATGACGAAGCAACATCACAGCAATGAGCACATGATAAATATTCAGTAAACGTTAGCTGTTTAAATACCTTCTCAGCAGTTGTTGTAATTAAGACAGAGATTGCTGATCTAAACTTAACTGGTACAGAACAAATACAAATAATTTAATTTAGAATGTACCAATTTTCCCTCCTTGTAATGAAGCCATAGAGACTCCTCTTTGCTACTGCTGCTACTGGAGACCTCATTACCTCTTTTCCAGTCTGACCACACTACTTGAGACTATCATGAATGCCACTGTCTGGAATAAACAGTCATCTCCTTCACATCTTTACTGGTCATGGTTAAAGCTACTTAACCCTTAAAATGACACTGTGGATCATCCATCAGTTCCATACAGTATTTAGAAATAGCCCCTGACTTGGCTTAAAATCTTTCCAGCCATCGGTGTAGCCCTTTCTACAGGTTCCTCAGGAGCCCAGCTATATATCTGGGAGTAAATCTCTACTCCCAAAATCAGAGAAAATGGGAGTCCCAGCCCCCATTGCTGAGCCTGATCACAGACACCTAACTAGCTTTCTTGAAATTCTAAGACCATTTTCCACAGAAACATTGGTAAAAATGGTGACTCTCTTCCAGAGCATCGTTAACTCAGCTACATAAATAGGCTTCTGCAGGCTGGCAAAAGCAACCAAATGTCATTTTTAAGATTATTTATGCAAAAAAAAGCTCATACCAAGGTCCTCACTATCTTCACATTGATTTTTTTCCTTCTTCAAACATTTATGCAACACATTTTTGCTGAGACTGCCTTTTCTTTTATCTGGTACTCATTATTCTCCTTGAAAGTCCCGATTTCTCCTTCAATAACCAACTGCAAAGTCCTCAATGAATGCTTTTTTTTTTTGACAACTATCACGCCTCTGCCAACCCCCACATACACATCAACACTCTTTCCCATCCTCTGTGCTCCAGAGCAGTTTGAATCTATCTTTACAAAACTCTGTTTCCATTTGAGTTAGGGTCTTCTTCCCAACTTTTTCTTATAAAAATTTTCAAATATTCAGAAATATTCCTAAAAGAGTTTACTATAAACACCCATAAACCCACCACTAGACTTAACAACTGCTAACATTTTGCCATATTTACCTTCTCTCTCTGCACACACATATACACATATATTTGCTGTACAACCTGAAAGTAAGTTGTAGACATCAATGCATGGCATCTCTTAATACTTTAGTATCCATCTCCTAAAAATAAGGTCATGCTCTTACATATCCACAATATCATTTCCACTTAAGAAAATCAATAGTTCCACCTTTATACATAGTTGTATGGGAACTTCTGAAGAACAAGAATCTCATCAGTATAGTCCCAGTATTTTATTGATGCATGGCACTAATTTGAGTGATGAATAAAATGTTTCACCAATTGTTAAATTTAATAACCTCACAACAACTACTCTGCAAGCCATGAGTTTAAAACTTAAACAGCAAGCTTTGATTGTACAACGTGCACCTTCTGCCCATCAGTTTAATTACCAGCCCACACAA